TGAAAATTTATTTCTATCTAATGAAAATTATGTTCAAGAAACTGTTCAACTCGAGCTTATTGATTTAAAAACAAATAATCATTTGAAAGATTTATATAAAGAAATCACAGATAAAAAACAGAGATTTAATACATTTTTATAAGACCCAGTGAGGGTGAAATGATGTCAGTGAGATGATTGTCCAAAAATAAAAGAATTATCAATACGTATATTTACATTATTTGGTTCTACATGTATTTGTGAACAAACCTTTTCACGCATGAATTACGCAACATTTTCAGAAAGATCTCGATTGACTGATGAACACTTATATTTCTTATTAAGAACTGGCGTTACACATTTCACTCCGAATATTGAAATATTATACATCATCAATACATTTTTTTTTATATTAAAATTAAAAATTATAAGTTATTTGGAATTCTTAAAAGCTTAATAAAATAAAATTTTTTATAAATAATTTTTTTTACACCTATACAAATTTCAAATTGGAACACTTTCGCGAGCAGGGAGTTGGGCATGTCTGCTATAGATGATCATAACAATTATAAAAATAGTTTAAAGGCAAAGATTTGACTTGCATTCAACTTGATTGAAACAGCTTTTCAACAGTATAACAATAACTTTATATTATATTGTTGAAAACTTGTTTTTATTAAATGTAATTCGAACAATAACAGCAACCTCTAGTGGCTGCATCCACTTATTTTCTACCAAAATGTAGCAATAGGATAACTTATTGATTTATTTTAAGATCAATGTTAATATATATTTATTATATAATAATGAATATAGTAGGATTTTAAAATAAAAACGTTCTAGTTAATAAAGAAATTATATAATTCTTTTAATATTTTATATAATACATTTATAAAATTATATTTTTCGTATAAAAAAATTAAAATTTCTATACCAACGGAGAATTATAAGTGAAAATTACTTATATGTTATTAGTAGGTATAAATTAAAAACGTTTAACAAATAAAATTCACTTTTGGTAAAATAATTTTGTGTAAAATTTATTTCATGTTAAAATAAGAAATTCATAATAACCTAAACGAATAATTGCACATCAAGTTTTAATAGTTTTGTAAAATTACGGGGTTTCATAATAATAATTGTGCATTTTAGTGAAAATAGATGTAAAAAAACGAAAAATCGTTTTAAAATAACCAACATCAGGTGAACTATTGAAAACACATATTATTGACGAAATTTTTAAATTCTTTGTGCACTATATCGTCGTCCATGTTCACTCTGAGAGTGAATGTACGAAAAAAAATATTTGACATTAAACTCGATTATTTATTGACAAACAATACATAGTTGTGCTCACTACATCTATTAATATCAATATAGGATAAAATTATTTAGTTTTAGTAACGATATTTCATTTGAACAATATCGAAATGCACTGGAAAACGTAGATCTTACAAATCATTTTTCGATGCTTTTTTCTTCGATCGTTCACAACGCATACACATCACGGAGTAATATGAAGGCGATGGGTACACTTACTAGCGTAACAGTGCCGTAAAAATCATGGGTGCAAGCGGTGCACAGCACTGGGGCCCGCAGAGTCAAGGGGCCCATAGCAGATAGCCGTTAATTTTTTTTTTTTTTAATTTGATTTAATTTGATTTATAATTATTGTGTTATTATGTTGTATTTAATTTTATACAACAAAACGTAAAAGTCTGATCCGTTTTATTTGGAATTGTTTATCTAAATATTGGAAAAAATACTAAGCCTAGAGTGACATAAATAGATTACTTTTATATTTTACTGTAAATCATATTTATAAAATCAACAATCATTATTCATATTATTGATTTTATCCATCTGTGTAGTTTATTCTACAAGTTTTTTTTATTAATAAAATCTATCCAATATGCAATTGTGATCTTGTATAGGTACCTACTAAGTTGAAGCATTACACAAAATTGTTTTAGCGAGAAAATTATCTACAGGTTCTATAAAATTCAATACTTCTACAAATACTGTCCGAGCTAAGGAGTAAAAGATTCCCATAGCGTGAAGTCAGTTTGACTTTTTTATGTATCTCAAAAAAGAGGGGCCTATGTACATTTTTATGCACCTGGGTCTTTTACACTCTTGTTACGGCACTGGTAACAAAACGGCGAACTGTTCAGCTAAATGAATCGATGAACTGTTTTTGATGAACCGTTGGCCAAAAACCAAAATTGTATGTTTGCGTATCCACGTGTTTCCCATAAAAAATAATAAACAATATACTTCATAGTCGTTTTGTCAGCGGCTGAGTGATATAGATGCTAATCATGTCCTTTCGTATAGCTGCTGCAGCTTATGTTTACATTCAACTCGAACTAAGGAAAAAGACTAAAAGACGAAGACAACGGTGGCAAACTCAACTGTGTATACAATTATAAACTATTAAGTACAAATATAAGTATAAAAATAAAAATAACAGATAATATTTGATTTTTGCATGTTCGTAAATACGTCCACACATGTCGCGTAACATGTTCGCGTATCATCCTTTGATGTTTCGTTGAAATACCGACAGCGAGCGGATCTCCGGTTAGTTCGTTAAAATATTACAAATTCGCCGATTTGCAGGGCCGTAACAAGGGGGTGGCGAAAGGTGCCTACGCTCCGTGCGCAATTCCTGGGAGAGCGCCAAAAAATGAAATACTTGCATTCAATGTTAAAAATTACAACGGTCAATGTCGTATATTTTGTTTACAAAACATCTTTGACATCCTTCAAATTAATTAAAGCAATCATTGAAAATAATATCTAATAAGCGTAATATTTTTAGATATTCGCACCGAGTGCGATGTTTGGTTGCTACGGCACTGCCGATTTGTTACACATGAACATTGTTCGCGAACACGTTTTTGACGTTTTGTTACGCTATTGTGTACCCGCCTTAATATACTAATAATAGTAATATTATTTTATGATACATATGTGAATGACGACGTGGACATAATAGACCTAATATTAATCGTAGTTCAGTATCCCGAGAGAAGAAGGGGCTTAAGAGGTCGTGATGATCACTATCTCTTTTCGAAGAACATTTTTACAGTCAGCGTATAGACAATTATGAAAAGATTAAGAAATATCGTTTTGTCACTTTCTTAAAGTTGATACTTATAAAAATCAAGTGGTAGTCATTTTCATTATATTTCGAAAAATCATCTCAAATATTGCTCAATAGTGTCACTGACCTTGTTGTAGCTGACCATCTACGTTCTAATCACATTGTTATTTCATCGATCTGTTCAAAAATAAATTGAATATGAAAGTTGCCATCCCACTGTTTAAACCAAACATATTTATGGTACATATAAGTAAGAAAAATAGCTCTTGATAATAATGAATTATCATATCAATAATAAAATGAATAATTATTCTCACTATAAGAGAGTTAATAAACTGTAAAGCATAAGTAAACAATATCAATTTTACCGTAATTCGTTATATCGTATCTTCAAGGAAATTATTTTCTTGAAAATTATAATTTATACGAAGATATATGAAAATTTAATTTTCTACCTATATTTTTTTAATATACGAATAAAATTTTTAAAAAATTAAAGAAATACAACATATAACACTGAATAAAATTCTAAAAGTTTTTATAAAGTACCTCATATAGTTTTTATTTTTGAAAAGAAATAAATTGTTCATTTATAAAAACAGAAAATATATAAATTGAAATGGATAAATCCAACCCAATTACAATTCATTAAAAAAAATTAAAAAACATACGAGTGTATTAAATTTTTTTTTTTCGGATGTGAAGTTAAAGAATAATCCCTTTAAATAGAAATAATGTAAAATTAGAGAAATATTAAGTATTTATTGTTGACAGATCTAAAATAAAATTTTATTAATTAAAACTATTTCTTATCGAGGGTAATTTAAAAATTCCAGAAATTCTACGCGAATGAATATATATACTTCAACTTGAACTTATAAGAAATTATAAAAAGCCATTAGTTAGAAGAAATATGTACATATTACCTAACATTAATAATAGTAAAATACAATACATAATAAATTAATTATGCACGAGTAATAATGGAAGCATTATCATATTTGTTGTTAGATAAATAAGACATAATCGTATAAAAATAAAATGCAATAATTTATTCCAATATTAGTACGTTGTAATAAATATCAACTTTTTTTTTATAAATCAACGAAATATAGCTAGTAAAACAAAAAATAAAATAAAAATTTAACTCTGGGATATTTCCGAAATATAGTAGCTATATTGCAGTTACTACCATATATTATTATTGCTATTATATCATTAGGACATTTTTTTCGAATGGTAAAGGGATGGAAGTGGGTGGTACGTTAAAAAATGGCATTCCCCTCCCATGGAAAACCCTGCAAAAATATTATTTATTACCGCCGTCGTGGCCCAATATAGACAGATAGATGGACAGACACGTAATAATTTTACCATATATGTGTTGTATACCGATTACTGGTTGATTAATCGTTTTTTATAAATGCGGCAGTGGTCACATATTATATAAACAGAGAAAGAGAAAACCCGAAATTATTACAAATAATTATTAATTATGGAATATGGATGTCTGTGATTGGCAGCTACGGCATAAAAAATGTATCAATACAGAAAATTATAATAAAAGACAAAATGGATTTGGAAATTATAGGTAACACTGTAACAGACATTATTTTAACGGGATTTATGGAGTAAAAATATGAGGAATAGACACAACTGATTACTGTACAGATGTGTTTTAATTTTAATCTAATTATTAAATCTGGATTCTTTGTTAAGGTCATTGAAGTATATTATTAAAATAATATGTATTATATTAATAATAATTCGCTATCAAAATAAAATAACAACAAAATGCTTATAATTACCAGCATACTCTTTATATTTAAGAATGCGATAAGACTTAAACATAATAGAAGACAATCATGAGATATATATATATATATATAATTACCTTATACTATAATATAACTATACAAGGTAAAATAAAAGTCGCAGATTTTCATCTTTTTTTTCGCTCGATTTTTAAAAATAAATTCAATTATTTGAAATATTAAAAAAAGGTGCAATTTTCAGTTGCCTCTGAATATCTATATAAAGTATTATCGATTAATAAATACTTATTTAAAAAAAAAATAAACACAACAAAAGAAATAGAGTTATTTGTTTTAGTATTCAACCGATGTCCCATCATTCTTGGGGATGCCGGCGAATTCGAATGTATATCCGCGACCAAACGAATGTGGTTGTCGCTCATTGCTACTTTCATCGTTCTTTTGTAAGTTATCACTAGCACCACCACTGTAAGCCGCAGCCTGTACGGGGGAAGGAGGTGCCCGGAATGGACTGTGACTACTGTAATCTACAGCGCCGTCGTAGGCAGAAGAACCATCGTCGTCGTATCTACCTTCCAGCTCGGCACTGTTTTCTTCGTGCACGCGATAGTGTTGCTGAGGCTTTGAATATTTTGATTTGTACGGCGCTGGAGGCCCAAAAGATTCGCCGTCATCATAGTTGTACTTACTAGGAGTGTTGAAATCACCTCTGCTAAACTGAGAACCAGGTCCGCCGGGTGCACCGAATAATCTGTCAAGTGATGCAATATTATACACAACGTCGCGAAACACATGGGTTGATGATTATTTATTAATCTAGTAGTCGAAAATAATATTATTTTTTTATTTATTGATATTTAACGATTACAATGCAGTGTGTTTTTTTTCAAACGGAATTTTAAAACCTATACGATTAATAAACAGAGTTGACATTTAATGATTGATACTGTATTACAACATGGTAACACGTATAATTTTGATATTCTCGATACGAGTTAAAATATAAGCGATTATAGTGGTTGACAAAAATGAAGAATATCGTGAACAACACTGACCGAACTAAATATTTTTTTGTACAGATGAAAACTTTAAAAGTTGAAGTAATATCGCTTGGATCAAGAAATAACAGATAATCAAAATCATTTTTGAAATACATTATAAATACTGTTTTGACACGTTGATTTTATTATGAACAATTCTAACAGTTATTGTGTTTCGTAATAAATCTATCGCGGGTTATCTAAAACGCTTATATATTGTTTCGTATACCGAAACCGCGCCACGTTCCTGATGTATCGAATCGGATAGGACTTTAGTCGTCCGCGGAGTACGATAATATTATTATATACATACTGACCTCCGAAGATACGGTATTGTATATAAGTTAAAAGCGGTTTTCGCATTATCTCCGGGGCCAATTGATTATACACACCACGGCGGAGCTTGTACGCGCTTTGTACGGGCAATGTACACAAACGCCTCCGTCTCCGTGGCGCTGCAGTTTGTGTAATATATTTATAATACACGTGTGTACATTGCGGTCGTCTTTGTAGGCTCGTGTTTTAGGAGCAGATTATTACACCGAACAGTGTGTAAGTTAAGTTCACGAGAGAATACGATTGTTACGTAAACACGCGGTACGCGAAACGGGATCAACATTGTTTTTACATATTAAAGGTACGTTTTCCTATGAGCGCATTTTCCGAGCCGCAGGAACCGATCACGTCGACGTGATAGCTGTATCACGCCGGGGTAAGCGTAAAACGTGTTACGCGGCGTAAAAGTGTTTTCCTATAAAACTCAGTTGTGGCGCGTTGAACAGTTCAGTTGACTACTAAAAGTGTGTAGCGTATTTGTAATTAATTATGTTGTTATTAAACATTTTTTAATTGCGATGAATCGTCTCGAAAGAAAGAAGAAAATGATTGCACTGCTTATTCTTCGACATGTAATAATCGATGGCGAATACGAAGAATATATGATCCACGAACATTGGAATTTAAGAAAGAACTTCGGTAAGATTTATAATAGACGAGAAAACGAAGGTATTTTCAAAATGTTGATAAATAACCACCTTGTTGATGAAGAACAACGATTTAAAAATTATTTCCGAGTAACTCGTGAGACGTTTGCCTACATTTTGAGCCAAACAATATTCCTATAAGACGCTGCGCACAACGCAACAGACTCCCTCTCTCGTCAGTCGGCGAATCGCGCGGAGCTTATTGCGCTGACATAGAACGTGTTGCGCTCGGTAGGAAAACGGTGCGATTAATTTCAAAAGAAAAAGTGGATGACGTACTGCGCTAAGCGTAACACGTCGTACACGACGCGAAAAACGCGCTCCTAGGAAAACGTGCCTTTACCGTTCGTGTCGTCGACGAGTTGGTAAAAAAAAGAAAAAACCTCCCTTACCTATTCTTTGCCGGACCGGTGCTGCGACCGGACGACGGGTGAGTGGTGTACGCACCGCCGCCGCCGGTCGGCGACACCGGTACCACGGACACGGGCGCTTTCGGCACGTGGTCCCCCTGGATGATGCGGAACCCGTCCTTGCCGGCCGTGTACTTGACGCTGACCTCCTTGCCGTTGGGATCCGTGTACGAGTACGCGCCCGTCCGGCTGCCGTCCGGCCGGATCGACTCGCCCTGCCGCAGACCGTTGTCGGCCGCGAACGCGTACTGGAACCCGCCGTCCTCCTGCAGCGCCTGTTTGTGCATCAGGATCACGGGCAGCTTGGGGTTGGGCCCGCCGCCGTAACCGCTGCTCGGCTCGGCACCGTGGTAACTGTTGTAGTCGGCCGAACCGTCGTCGTCGGCCCCGAAGCCCGCGGTCGTCGCCGCGAAAACGCCGACCACCAACACGCACACCGCCGTCGTCATCGTTCTCCTGGTCATCGGCTCCTGCGGCAAAACGATCGGTAATATCGTATTATCCTTTACTATACGTACACGCGTGTGTACCGGGTGTGCACACGCATTACCGCGCTGCGATATCGAATCGGAAGCGACGACCGGGGGAGGTGGAGGGGTATTTCAATTAAACGTTAAAACTACACCGCCGTCGCGTACAATGACAGCAACAATAATAGCAATAATAACGCGACGCCCGCGCGTATATGAATTGGTGTCTGCGTTCCGCGACTTGCGTTGCACCGCGAACGCCACCGTCGCACTGGCGCCCTGTGTTGACAAGTCGAGTGAAGAAGGGTTGTATTATTATTATTCCCACTTATACGGCTAATATTGTGTTTCACGTTCGTGTGTACCGCTTTGACTGTTATTCGCAAAACGTTATCGTCGCCGAAGAATTGTTCAAGCCAACGGATCCTTATCGAAATCGTAACTATTGTACGAGGGAGACTTTCAACCCGTTCTAATTACTTGCTTACAGTACACTGTACACAACCACTATGACGTATTTATGGTACACGTGACAGTCGAGTTCAAAATTATATCAACTCCAAATGTGTTTGTTTGAGTACAATGATTTTTAAAACAATGTATATATATACTGTATTTTTAAGACGGGACGATCGAACGTCGAACACTCTTTGGACGATACTGCAAACTAGTGGCGAGTATAATTATGTGACCAGATATAAAGTTATGATATCGCATATATGATTCTAATTTTTATTTCAGTTTCTATTACAGTTTTATTTTTAGGTATTAATGTAGTTAGCTAAAAGTATAAAAACGTTTGAATTTAGTATTAAATCTACAATGGATAATTGATAACTAGAACCTCTAATAGTCGAATTTTTGAAAACTGGAAGAAATGTGTTGACCCCTGCATTTCAATACATGATATGTGTGAAATATTTTCTCGATAATTCGAATTTCTTTCGCTAAATCGAACTTCTCTACGAAATCGTAGTCATTTGAGTTATCCATTACCGAAAATTACTGAAATAATTTAATAAGTGTAAATAACGATAGTACATAATAAAGAAATCCACAACGAATTAAGTGGGAAGGAGTCGGGTGATATGCATTTGCCTTTGCTTTTAACTACTCTTGCTCGGTCATTAGATGGTTTACAGGTAGTACGTTAATATATTCATGAACAACCAGAAATTCCAGACGAAATTTTTCCCGCGCTCAACATAATTAAAAACTTTTAAAGGTAAGTACGTCTTTATCATACAATTAAAAACAATAAAAAATATGTAATTCCATCCAATAACAGTCGTACTATATTTATTATTTTCTTTATTATTGACATATTTATTTTACTATAGAATACTTTTTTGAAAATTGTAATACATGCGTACATATATTAAATATGGTATATGTAAATAATAGTATATAACATTATAAGACTCCAAAGTAATAATTCAAAACATTTCTATTAATTGACTACTTAATAACCACCTTGCTTACCTAACAATAATCACACAAATCACTATTCAACCATCATTCATAATTCTATTGAACTTTACTTTTGAAGCGTGAATCGTTAAATAAACTAAAATCGGTTGTGGTTCATTTCGAGGATGTTGTGGCATACAATTGAAATCCACGGGTCTTAACTTGCCGATGAGTTGAGTGATAAATCTAAGCTTAGATAAGTCAAGAATACAAGTAAATCTGTTGTATACTTTAAATTATTACTGTATTTATAATGTAAAAATATTTTTTAAATTTTATTATTAAACGCAATACGAGTACACGATTTTTAATTTGAAATTATGAAATCTGTCGGCGACAGAGAGAAAAAAAACTTTTATTAAAATCAATAAACAAAGTGAGCTGCTCTACAAACTGTTCTATCTATAGATATTGTAATACAGTTATATTAGGTTATTTTTCTAGAACTGTAAATCCACGAGCTTCCGTATCTTTCAACGTCTTGGTTTTTTTTTTTTTTATGTTTCGTTCAGATTTCAAATACATAACTGTTCGTTTATATAATTTATTTTAACAGTCACAGTTTTTCAACCGGTGCGTGGACGTGTACTTTTACAAGCATTTAAGATACTATCGACCACTACGCGCGTGCATTAAAAAAAAAAAAAAAAAAATAATAATAATAATAAAATTTATCCTTTTCAATGTTCACGTATTATTTTTGTTCTCGTTCGATCGCAGTTTTCCGTACACGAACGGAGTTCGTGGGTTCATGCACAATGCGCGACGCTCGCACGACCAGCCCGAATTTTTTTTTTCCAACGCGCCTACGTTTACGATTGTACACGATCGCTATGCGTGAGCGCGCGTTTACAGTCATTACCACGTATAAATCCCATCGGCAGTCGATCGTAAAATTGTTCTCGGTGCGCGCGCGCGCGTTCGTATGCGTTTTCGTGGCGGCAAAACCCGTAACAGCGATTCCCGGCCGTTATACGGTATTTACCGGGGATACCGGAAAAGGAAAAAAAAAAAAAAAATTAAAATAAAAACCGATCATTAACAGAACGAACAAGTGTTTTGCCGAACGAAACGTTTTGTAAAATTATAACCGTTGCGTACACACACACACACACGCGCGCGCGCGTCAACTGTCGTAACGCGGAGAGCAATAATGCAACACTCACCGTCTCCCGGTGTACACAACAATGTCGCCGATGTGTATTGTATCGCAAGTATGTAGTAATAGCGGTAACGATTGCGGTGCAAACATATTACGCGTGTTATACGCGTGTATTGCGCGCGTACACGCGAGCGAATAAAGAAGTGTAGTGAACCGTGCGCGCGCGTGCTTGCGGCGACGGCGGTCGCGATTTGCGCAACGACATTGCGGCAGTGGTCGTCGCGGTTTACGGCCGACGGCAGCAGCACCGCCGGGCGGTATTGTATCGCGCGCGTAGTTGTTTTTTTTTTTTCCCCC